TCATCATTTTGTTTGAGGGAATGATTTGGCATAAACACCAGTCAAAAAATGGGTGTTACATAAACATAAACACAGCTGAGTAATCATAAGCTGATTTTGGAAAATAAAAAGGGTGACATTTTCAGCTGATGCCGCTTTAATTTCATACTTTGCCAATGTTTGTGTTGGCACTTGAACTGTCACTATGAACTGTGGAAAACAGGAACATGAGAGTGAGTAAATGAAGACTGAACATTCATTTTTGGCTGAACTTTTCCTTTAAGCTAATGAACGAATCGAATGAATGAATGAATCAAATAAATGAATGAACAAATGAATGAATCAAATGAGTGAATGAATGAATGAATCAAATAAATGGATGAATCAAATGAGTGAATGAATGAATGAAATGAAATGCTGAATAAGTGTGTGTGTTTGAGTGTGTGTTTGTCATGACGCATTTCAGGTTGCATTAAAGACCATGAGGGATATAATCATGTGACTTATATTGAAAGATGGCCATTGCTGGATGGACAGAATCTACCAGAACTGGAATGTAAGAGACAATAATGAGGAAACTCATTTAAAGCTGCACCAAATACAAACGAACAGACCAAAGACAAGCGGCGGGATTGAGTCTCCACAAAAACAACACGACGAGCAACGTTCCTGTTTGGACGACAAGTGGAGGAATGCTGCTACTGGAAATATAACGGAGAACCAAAGTCTTATACCAGCTTATTAAAGGGAAAGAAAAAAACAGTACAAAACTTTTTTTCTAAATATAAATATAAAAATATATATAAATATATATGAAGATTAATGCTGACTAAGTGATATTACTTTGACTGCTACTATCATTGTTGTTACTATAAAAGAATTTCACTTATTTATTTTATCTCTGTGTATGGCAAAATCCTTTCCCAAGCCAGTAAACTCTACAGAAACGTGTCCGTGTTTCAAAACATACATGTTGTGAGAGTCATCATTATAAGCAGACAGCGAGTCGACACCCTTATGAGTCAGTATTACCTCTTTATTAACCTGGTTAGTGATGCATCTTGTGACCATAACCAGAAGTGTTTTTAAAACTCACATCAGCATAGGAATGACTCCTCAAGTACTGGTATTTGCTGAAAAGAGGTGTGTGTTGCTTTAAGAGATATGACTTAGCCTGATGGATGATAAAACACTGAGAGATCCAAACCATGTGCACAAACTAGAATATGGAACATTGCTAAGCAGTGCTGAAGACCTCCCTGAGCATCCTAGCAACCTTAAAGCAATGTATAAATATTTAACAAATCACATAGCAACACCCTAGCAACCACCCCAAACATTCTAGCAACCTCAAAGCAATGTGGAAAACTTTAGCAACCACATAGCAACACCCTAGCAACCACCCTGAGCATTCTAGCAACCTTAAAGCAATGTGTACATATTTAGCAAATCACATAGCAACACCCTAGCAACCACCCCAAACAATCTAGCAACCTCAAAGCAATGTGGAAAACTTTAGCAACCACATAGCAACACCCTAGCAACCACCCTGAGCATTCTAGCAACCTCAAAGCAATGTAGAAAAGTTTAGCAACCACGTAGCAACAACCTAGCAACCACCCTGGACATTCTAGTAAACCTAAAGCAATGTGCAAATCTTTACCAACCATATAGCAACACCCTAGCAACGGCCCTGAACGTTCTAGCAACCTCAAAGCAATGTGGCAAACTTTATCAACCATATAGCAACAACCTAGTAACCACCCTGGACATTCTAGTAAACCTAAAGCAATGTGTAAATCTTTAGCAACCATATAGCAACACCCTAGCAACAGCCCTGAATGTTCTAGCAACCTCAAAGCAATGTGGCAAACTTCATCAACCACATAGCAACAACCTAGCAACCATCCAAACATTCTTGCAACCAGAAAGCAATATGGAAAA